TTTTTTTTGACCCTACATGTCCCTCCAGGTACTGGCTCATTTCTCTGGCATTTTCACAATAAAATTTTACAAAACAGTTGTGAACTTTTCTCCAGTCACATTCAAATTAAAGAACTGAATCAGTTAAAAGAGAATGAAACTGAACATGAAACCCTAAAACTTTCATGAAGATTTGAAAAAGAACTCAATAAAATTTCTAGACACGAAAAATATATTAATTGAAATTTTAAAATCAGGCTGTGGATAACTGGAGATGGGGACGGCCCTGTACATCAAGATTAAAAGAGCAAATAAAGTTTACAACACTGGAGAGGTTCTCTCCGGTGTGGTGGCAATATCGAGTAAAGATTCAGTCCAACACCAGGGAGTGTCTTGGCCCATGGAAGGAACTGTAAACCTCCAGCTCAGTGCCAAAAGTGTGAGTGTGTTTGAAGCTTCTTATAATTCTGTTAAGCCTATCCGGATTATCAGCAGCACCACAGAAATGGTGAAGCTAGGGGAATCTCTCAGTGGCAAAACAGAAATCCCTTTTGAGTTTCCTCTGCATGTGAAGGGTAACAAAGTTCTGTATGAGACTTATCATGGCATGTTTGTCAACATTCAGTACACACTGTGCTGTGACTCGAGGCAATCTCTGTTGGCCAAGGACTTGACAAAGACCTGTGAATTTATCATTCATTCTGTTCCTCAGAAAGGGAAGTTGATTCCCAGTCCTGTGACCTTCACGAGTACACCTGAAACCTTACAGAACGTCAAAGAGAGAGATTTGCTTCCCAAATTTCACATTCAAGGACATCTCAACTCAACAAACTGTGTCATCATGCAGCTGCTAAGGGGAGAGCTGGTGGTGGAGAGCCCAGAGGTGCCATCAGAAGCGTGGAGCTGCAGCTGGTGCACGTGGAGACTTGCGGGTGTGCAGAAGGCTAAGTCCGCGAGGCCACGGGGATTCAGAACATTCAGATCACCGACAGTGACGTGTGCAGGGGCCTCTCTGTCCCCATCTACATGGTCTTCTCCAGGCTGTTCACCTGCCCTCCGCTGGAGACCACCAGCTTCCATGTGGAATTTGAGGATAACATCGTGGTGCTTCTCCACCCTGACCACCTCATCGTGGAGAACTTCCCGCTGAACCTCTGCACGATACAGCCCAGAGAGGGAGGCACAGAAAACCAGAGTGGCCATCTGAAAATCCAGCTGGTTATTCAAATCCTAAGGGGAGCGACAGCCAGTGGCATTTACTTGTTTTTGTGATTATTCGGTATCAGAAAAGAAACGGACCCTGAAATTAACTTTCCTTCCTCATTTCTTGGAGGCTTCCAACAGGCACCTCTACTCAGACCTTTTTTTGAAATTCAACACGTTTTCTTAATGCTATTTGCAAGACCTTTTCACAGAAAACACTGACTGTGGCTCCTGCCTTCCCTGTTTTTTTTTTAGATACAGAAAACAATTGTGACAGCAGTTTGAGCTTTTTTGGAAAGTGGGATCATGGGGACAAAAGGGAACCTCTCTCTGAGTTGCTAATAAACATAGCCAGGGACTCCCCACAGCAAAGGGCCTGTGACCAGTTGACATCCAGGACGGCTGCAAGCCTACTCCATGGTTAGGAAGCTTGTAGATACTCTCCGAGGCGGAGCACAAAGTGCTAGTTACTGGAAATGGGTGACTTCCCTCCACCCCCACTCTGTTCTGTAACATCTTTCATTATAGCTTTAAGACTTTTAAGCAACTGGAAAAGGTGTTTCTTGCTCTCACGGGGGGATTTGGCTGGTGCTAAAGTGTTTCGATGTCTCAAGAACTGGCATAAAATATCCTGCTGCCGTTTCCTTGAACATATACATAGAGAGAGAGAGAGGGCTTTCCCTCTGTCGCCCAGGCTAAGAGCAGTAGCAGAATCACAGCTTACTGCAGGCTTGACCTCCCTGGCTCAAGCAATCCCTACCCTCAGCCTCCGAAGTAGCTGAGACTACAGGTACATGCCACCACATTCAGCTAATTTTTAAGTTTTTTTGTAGACAGGGTCTCCCTATGTTGCCCAGGCTGGTCTTGAACTCCTAGACTCCAGTGATCCTCCCATCTTGGCCTCCCAAAGTGCTGAGGTGACAGGTGTGAGCCACTGCGCCCGGCAGTTTCCCAGAATGTATTTAAATGCAAAGTTACAGAAGGGGAGAACATGTATGTTTGCTCCTGTCGTTACTGGGTAGATTCTGAACCGCAGGAGACCCGTGTGCATGGCGGGTGAATGCCCTTCTCCCCAAGGTGGTAGCAGGAAACGGTCCTTGACTTGATGAACTTGGTCTGCCTCTGAGCCACCCGGGGAAGCTGTTTTTTAGCCTGAAGCCAGCATTTCCTCAGTCTCCCTTTGTGGTTCGAAGAATATGATCTGCTACAATACATTTCTTCCTTCAAATCCTGCCACTGTTTTGTTGGCCCACAATTAATAGGACCTCAAAGTAAGCCACGCTGCTTTGCACACACACTAGCCTTCCTTCGTACTTTTCATTCTGGACGGGCTCGGGCAAAACAGGCTCAGGTCGAGGGCTTCCCAAGCTGTACCTCCACCGTCCTGAAACAGTGTTCAGTGACATGATGGCCAGGGTAAACAAGCCTGATTTAGGCGTCACTTTATCCAACAGCTTCACCCGTGAAATTAATAACACTTACCTGAGTCACTTGAAACTTGGTTCCCAGAAAATATATTTCTGGTTTGTAAATCTCCTTTTATGCTCACGTGACATTATTGATTTGACGACGTGTTTAAACCGAGCAGCAGAAAAGAGAGGCTACACTTTCTGGGAAATTTTAAAGGAAGAAACCATTTTTAATGAGATGAAAATATTTAATGAATTTAAAAAGAAGATGACAATTTTGAGAAAAGGTTTGGGATGCGATTGCTATATAATTTCTTTGATAAACTGATTTTGTGGATATAAAAAAATAAAAATCAGTGGCTAGATTAAAAAGCAGATTATACAGGGCTGAAAAGATAATGGAGAAAATGGAAGATAGATTGGAAGAAATTGTCCAGAATGCAGCACAGACACAAAGTTATAAACTATGAAAAAGAGATTAAAAACACAGAGCACAGAGTGGGAAGATCTAACATGTATCTCATTGAAGTTTCAGAAGGAAATGAGTGTGCTAGGATTAAAAATCCCCCCTCAGGCCAGGTGCGGCGGCTCACACCTGTAATCCTGGCACTTTGGGAGGCCGAGGCAGGTAAATCATGAGGTCAGGAGTTCAAGATCAGCCTAGCCAAGATGGTGAAACCCTATTTCTATTTAAAAAAAAAAAAAGTGAAGAAAGAACAACAAAAAAAATCCCCACCCTCCAGATATCCATGTCCTAATCACTGCAACCTGCGAATGTTACCTTATGCAACAAAACATGGAAGGGGTTCTTTGTAGATTTGATTAAGTTAAGGGTCACAAGATGGGGAGATTGGCTTGGGTCATCTGGGTAGAACTTAAAGGCAATCATATGAGTCCTTGTAAGAGAGAGATGTAGACTCAATAACACACAGAAGAGAGGTCTGTATGAAGACAGAACAGAGAGAGATTTAAAATGCTGCCTTCCCTTAAAGATTGAAATGGAGCTGCCATCAACTAAGAAATGTTGACAGTCACCAGAAGTTGGAAGAATCAAGGAATAAATTGACCCCTAGAGCCTCCAAAGAAAGCATGGCCCTGTCAACATCTTGATTTCAATCCCATAATTTTGATCTAGTACTTCTGGCCTCCAGAACAATGAAAGAATACATTGCAGTTTTAAGCCACCAAGTTCGTGGAAATTTGTTACAGCTACCAAAGAAGACTAATATAATGGGCAAGAAGCAATATTCAAAAGGATGATAGCTAGCTAAGAAATTTTCAGAATTGTTGAAAGACACAAATTGTCAGATTCAGAAGCATAGGAAATAAAGAGTGGGATGAAAGTTTAAAGCCACATCTAAATATAATAAACCTGCAGGAGAGTGTGGTCAAAAATGAAACATAGGCCAGGCACAATGGCTGTAATAACCAGCACTTTTGGAGCCTGAGGCAGGAGGATGCTTGAACACAGGAGTTAAAGACCAGCCGGGGAAATATAGGGAGACCCTCATCTCTACAAAATATTTAAAAATTAGCCAGGCATGGTGGTGCATGCTTGTGGTTCCAGCTACTTGGGAGGCTGATGCAGGAGGATTGCTTGAGCCTAGGAGGTTGAGGCTGCAGTGAGCCATGATCACACAACTGAACTCCTGCCTCAGTGACAGAGTGAGAACTTGTCTCAAAAAAAAAAGAAAGAAAGAAAGAAAGACAGTCAGAGAGACAAACAATAGATTACCAACAAAGTAACAGGGACTACTTGGTGGCTGACTTTTCAACAGTGACAACTGTAGCCAGATGACAGTGGAAAAATATTTTGAAAGGACTAATAGAAAATAACGGTCTAGAATTATGTACCCAGCAAAACTATCTCTCAAGAACAGGGAAAAAAATGTTCAAAAAACAGTATTGAATGTGTTGGCCACCAACAAACTTTCATTAGGGGAATTTATTAGATATCCCTCAGGAAGCAGGAAAATGATCCCAGATGTAAGGTCTAAAATGCAAGATAAAACAATGAGAGAAAAAAAGAAGCAAACATATAGGTAATTATGAGTATATATTAACTATAAAAATAGTATCTGTAAAAATTAATTTATTATTCAGTGCAGCTCCAAATTAAATCCCAACAAGGTGTTCATGGCACATGACAATCTCTTTCTATAATTTATTAGCAAAGGGGCAAAAAGAGCCAAGCCATTCCTGAAGAAGAATAACAAGGAGCAGGGCTTGGTCTATCAGGTCTCAACACAACATAAAATGACAATTAAGATTTGCTTTAAAGCACTAGTAATTGAGGTAGTATGGGATAGGCACATAGACAGTGAATGAGGCTAGATAGAGTCCAGAAGATAGAGACCCAAGAATAAATGAAAAGATGATCCACAGAGGACATGGTTTGCAAAATCATGTAAAAGATGAACTATTCAATAAACAGAGCTTACGTAGTTACCTATCCATATGGAAAAATATTGAAATTGTATCCTTCTCTACACAAAATCAATTTCAGGTGGATTAAATTCTTATGTGCACAAGGCAAAATTTTTGGTAGAAAATAAAGGAAACTACTTCTGTGACCTCGGGAGAAGGAGGAATTTCTCTTAAAAGCCAAAAAAAGCACAAATCATAAAGGAAAACATCAATAAGTTCTACTACATTAAAAATAAGAACTTCAGCTTGGCGTAGTGGCTCTAGCCTGTAATCACAGCACTTTGAGAGGCTGAGACGGGTGGATCACAAGATAAGGAAACTGAGATCAGCCTGGCTAACATGGTGAAACCCCATCTCTACTAAAAATACAAAAATTAGCCAGGTGTGGTGGTACACACCTGTAGTCCCAGCTACGCAGGAGGCTGAGGCAGGAGAATTGCTTGAACTGGAGAGGCAGAGGTTGCAGTGAGCCAAGATCACACCACTGCATTCCAGTCTGGGTGACAAAGTGAGACTCTATCTCAAAAAAATTAAGAAAAATTTTTAAAAAGAAGCACTTCTGTTCATACACAAGAAAAAGCACTATCTAGAAAATGAAAAGACAAGTAGTCACTGGTTGGGAAATGATACTTAGAATGCATATAATTTACCTAGGATTGGGATCTGAATATATAAAAGGCTCCTAAAGAATCAAAACAAGAAAAGCAACACAGTAGAAAAGGACTAAACACATAATCAGGCAGGAAACAAGTAGAGGGGAGACAGGGAAACAAGTACTTCCAATAAACATGAAGAGATGCCCAACCTCATTAGGAATTAGGGAGATGCAAGTTTAAAACCTCCATTTTATGCCAGTTTACACCCACCAAGTTGGCAAAAATGTTAAAAGTCTGACAACCACAAGTGTCGTAAGGGCTGTGTAACAATGCAAGCAATTATATATTGCTTGGGGGAGTGTAAATTCATGTAATCATTTTGGAAAACAACATGATATTGTCTGGTCAAGTTCAAATGCACATAGCTTTTGTGCATTTGAATGCCCAGAATTTCTATTTCTGTGTACTTTTCTATTTCTGTGTAATTTCTATTTCTGTGTACCTACAGACTCTTACACATGTGTATTAAGAGATGTAATAGATATTGATGAGAGCAATCCTATGTCCATCAAGAGGAGAATGGATTCATAATCTGTGGTTTGTAAATACAGTACAGGGCTGGACACAGTGACTCATG